AAAAAAAAAAAAAAAAAGCCCTCAAAGAATCACTCATTTCCCGGGTACAAAGTTAGTAGCATAGGCCCAAGCATTATTATTAACCGGGTCAGCAAGATGATCCGCCAAATTCTCCAACGGGCCTTTTCCGGTCACAATCGCCTGAACAAAGAATCCGAACATCGAAAACATGGCAAGCCTACCATTCTTCAGCTCCTTCACTTTCAACTCAGCAAAAGCTTCCGGGTCATCCGCCAATCCCAACGGGTCGAAACTCCCGCCCGGATACAACGGGTCGGTGACCTCACCAAGAGGCCCACCAGCAATACGGTAGCCCTCAACCGCGCCCATCAAAACAACCTGGGTGGCCCAAATGGCTAAAATGCTCTGCGCGTGGATCAAGCTCGGGTTACCCAAATAATCGAGCCCACCATCGCTGAATATCTGCGACCCGGCCTTGAACCACACGGCCTCGCCGAATTTGACTCCGTTTCGGGCCAAGAGCTCGGGGAAAACGCACCCGAGGGCCCCGAGCATGGCCCACCTCGAGTGGATGACCTCGAGTTCTCGGTTCTTGGCGAAGGTCTCTGGGTCGGCCGAGAGGCCGGCGGTGTCCCAGCCGTAGTCGCCGGGGAATTCTCCGGTGAGGTAGCTCGGGGGCTCGCCGGAGAACGGGCCGAGGTATTTTACACGGTCCGGGCCGTACCACGGGCTTCCGGAGGAAGCCGCGGGCTTGGTCTTCGAGGTCGTTTTCCTCATCGTGATTCGTGGGCTTCTTCGGGAGATTTTTTCGGTGGGGTTTGCGGCTCGGGAGAGCTTCACCGCCTCGCCGGAGAAGGAAGGGGAAGAGAGGGCCATTGTTGAGGCAGAAGCCATTTTTTTTTTTATTGATTATTCAGTAGTGAGTAATTTTGTGTGGAGATTTTGATGGGTTTATTTTTCATTGGCTTTGGACAGGTTTATATGGAGATTTGAGGATGGGAGTCTCTTATCTAAGGGAGATCAGTATCTGTGTTGTGATTGGTGGATGATATTTGGATTGGGTTGATATTTTACAGACACGTGGCAGCAGGCAGCTTCACAAGTCGATCCTAGTGGGATGCGTTGAGAAAAAGATCTTGATGAGTTTTGTTGTGGCCAATAAGAGATTGCCACGTATGCGGATGGATAGTGTAATATCTTCATGTAATATCATAAGTGAGTGTATGATGAAAAACATTTACATGTTATGGATTCACGGCCTGTCTCATCAATACTAACCACGCATGGGTGATCGGAGGATTTAATGTTAAAACCCTTAGGGGTGCAATGTAGAAACGAATTAGGCATGTAAACGAGCCGAGTTGAGCTCGAACTTAGATGTTCGAGCTCGAGTCTTTAACGAGTCGAGCTAAGCCGAGCTCAACCGTTAAATAAACGAGTCAGTAGTCGAGCTTGAGTTCAGCTCGCATATCACTATTAAGGATTCGAGTTTTAACAAGTCAAACCATAAAAGTTATATAAAAGTTTTCTTTTCGAGCCGAATTGAGCTCAACTCGTTAAGGTCTCAAGCTCAAACCAAATCGAGTCTAGTTCGTTTAATTTAGCAGCGCGCTAACAAACATATCCTCACTGGCATAACCAAGATAAGCAAAATCTAAACCCGTGGATACATAGATAGATTAGCTTGGCATTTTTTAAAAAAGTTATGACTTATGAATCTCCAAATCACAAGAATAGATGGACAAGAACTTGCCAACTCATCATCAGCAAAACCAAACAACCCAATAATATTGCAAGAATCCCAAAGGCCAATCAAAGCAGAGATATGCATATCATCATTCATCAAAACCTAATTTCACCCCCAAAACACTTTTTTTCTATATAAGTAAACTACACACTCAAATTTTCTACAAACTCATCATCAAAGCTCAAAAACTCATCTTTTTCTTACAAGCATATCATCAAACACCTACACTGCTCACAACCAATGGCAGCCTCAACAATGGCCCTCTCCTCCTCTGCCTTCACCGGCAAGGCGGTAAAGCTCTCCCCAAACGCCGCCTCCGAAAAAATCTCCCGAAGAAGCCCACGAATCACGATGAGGAAAACGACCTCCAAGCCAAAACCCGCGGCTTCCTCTGGCAGCCCGTGGTACGGCCCGGACCGCGTCAAGTACCTTGGCCCGTTCTCCGGCGAGCCCCCGAGCTACCTCACCGGCGAATTCCCCGGAGACTACGGCTGGGACACCGCCGGCCTCTCGGCCGACCCGGAGACCTTCGCCAAGAATCGGGAACTCGAGGTTATCCACTCCAGGTGGGCCATGCTCGGGGCTCTCGGGTGCGTTTTCCCGGAGCTCTTGGCCCGCAACGGAGTCAAATTCGGCGAGGCTGTGTGGTTCAAGGCCGGGTCACAAATATTCAGCGATGGTGGGCTTGACTACTTGGGCAACCCGAGCTTGATCCACGCGCAGAGCATTTTAGCCATTTGGGCCACGCAGGTTGTTTTGATGGGCGCGGTTGAGGGCTACCGTATTGCCGGTGGGCCTCTTGGTGAGGTCACCGACCCGTTGTACCCGGGCGGAAGCTTCGACCCGTTGGGCCTGGCTGATGACCCGGAAGCTTTTGCTGAGTTGAAAGTGAAGGAGTTGAAGAATGGTAGGCTTGCCATGTTTTCAATGTTCGGATTCTTTGTGCAGGCCATTGTCACCGGAAAGGGCCCGTTGGAGAATTTGGCCGATCATCTTGCCGACCCGGTTAACAACAATGCTTGGGCCTATGCCACCAACTTTGTTCCTGGGAAATGAGCTTTAGCTTGGGTTGTTTTGAGCCCATATTGAGGCCCGGTTGTTATTATTGTTGTCGTGTGAGCTTTGAGCATATGAATATTGTGTAAAAAAAATGGTGTGATGCAATTGATGATATCCTATGATTTTTTTTTGCAGCATTGTCTCTTCCAAGTTTATATTGATCCGTTCCTTTTTCGTGCTCCACTTTAGTCGAAAAATGATCTTATTTGAGAAGTTACCAAAATAAGCTTATGAAATAAGCTACAACTTAAAAAAAAAAAAGTTCGTTTAACAAACGAAATTTATTTGAATACCCGAAATTTATAAACTAATTAAATAAGCTATAAGTTAACTTATTTGGTTTCCAATAACATAGCCTAAGGTACTCTCAACTTTGATTCATTATCAAAGATGCTGAAAACTACGAGGGAGAAAAAAAACACAACTAGACATTATCTATTGCCATTTTCCGAATTTTCGAAAGAGCGGACAGCACGTGTTCCATGTCGGGTCTGTTATCTGGTACTGCACTGGTGCAGGATAAAGCCAACTGCAGAAGCTCCTCAAGAACTTCAAGATTATTCGAAGCTAATAAATCGTGATCCACAACTCGATCCAAGCCGTTAATTCCTTGCTGTTGTCGATCAAGCGCTCGCTCGACAAGCTGTGATAAAGTGATCTGCAATCCATCCTCGCTCGCGAGTCCCGTTGGCCTCTTTCTCGTGATCAGCTCCATCATTATAATGCCGAAGCTGAAAACATCTACTTTCGTCGTGACTTTCCCCATGTAAGCGAATTCTGTTAATTACATTCGAGCAGCAATATGATTTTCATTTGATCTAAACAATCAACTGATTATTATAATTTATATCTAAATAATGTTTACCTGGAGCTAAGTAGCCAATAGTCCCTTCGAAAGCCGACGAACATGAACAAGCACCGAGCATTCTTGCTGTACCGAAGTCACTCACGTGGGCCTCCAGCTCAGCATCAAGAAGAATATTACTCGGCTTCAAATCACAATGCACGATAGGGAAATCGTACCCCGCGTGCAGGTATACCAAACCTCTCGCGATCGAAACCAACGAATCGACCCTCTTCACAAGAGTCCAACCGTTATTCGGGTCGTGTATAATCATGTCCAAATTCCCATGCTCCATGTATTCCAAGACTAATGCTTTGAGATTCCCACTCTCCCACGAGTAGCCGAGTATTTTAACCAAATTCCTGTGCCGTAACTTTCCCAAAATGTTGACTTCGCGGTAAAAACACTTGTCGGATTCCTCTGCAAATTGCTCCAAGTTCAGCTTTTTAACGGCTACTTTTTGCCCGTTTTCAAGATTTCCTTTGTAGACGGTACTTAATGAGCTTGACCCGATTATGTTGTCCTGGCTGAAGGAGTTTGTAGCAATTGCTATATCCTTCGGTTCGTATCTTTTCAGCAAAACTGCCGAAGGGAATCGGTTATTTTCCGAACTATCGATTCCCTTCTTGCCCTTTCGTATCACTCGAGTAATGCAGAATGCTGCTAGAAGAAAAAAAACGAGCACAAGAAAACTTCCGCTGAGTGTCCAAAACAGAATCTTTGTTTTTTTCGACTTTTTCTTGCTCTTGCATCTTTTCAGAAATGTTTTCCCACAGAGATTTCGATTTCCCTGTAAACTGGTTACATTCATGCTTGAAAACACGCCGGACTCGGGTACACGGCCTTCGAGCATGTTGAAAGAGAGGTTTAGATATTGTAAGCTCGATATATTCGCCAGGCTGGCCGGAATTTCGCCAACGAGCCTGTTTCGAGATAAATCGACTGTCGAGAGATGACTCAGGCCCAGGGGTATATCAGGGATCGTGCCGTTCAGCTGGTTTCCAGATATATTCAAGCTAGTCAGCTGAGAGAGCTGAGGGAAAATCTCTGCCGGGACTTCGCCGGAGAGTCTGTTTTCCGACAGGTCGAGAGAGACCAAATTCCGGCAGCCTCCCACCGCACGAGGAATGCTTCCGGTTATATAGTTGTTCGAAAAATCGAGTCTTTGAACCATTTCCAGCATGCCCATTTCCTCTGGAATCATCCCTTCCAAGAGATTGTGTGATAAGTTGAAAGAAAGCTGAATGTTCCTCATGCCGGCAATAACTGAGCCCGGGATTATCCCGGTAAAACGATTATTCGAAAGATCCAAGTTCGTCAGTCGAGTAAGACGGGCCAATCTTCTTGAAATGGTGCCGTTGAGTCTGTTCCCGCTTAAATCCAAATACGAAAGGGATTCGAGTTCGGAAAGTTCGTCCGGAATCGTACCGAACAATCGATTGTTCTGCAGCTCAAGATCAGTAAGCATTGTCAGTCGAGAAAGCTCTTCGGGGATTGTACCTTCGAGCTCGTTTCCTCCCAATGAGAGGCCTTGAAGGAAATCGAGCTCCGAAACTCTTGCTGGAATCGGGCCCGAAAAACGGTTCCCGCTGATCTCCAGATAAACCAGACTGCCCAAATTAGCAATCTCCTCCGGAATCGGGCCGGATAACGTGTTCTCAAAAGCCCGTAAGGATCTGAGATTCACGAGCCGGCCAATGTCCTGTTTTAGCGTGCCGTCGAGTCTGTTACGGCTCAAATCGAGCATTCGAAGCTGCGTGCAGTTGTAGATATCGTCGGGAATACTTCCCGAGATTCGATTCCCTCCTAAAGAAAGGAAAGTGAGATTCGAAAGCCGGCCCAGCCCGTTTGGTATCCGGCCTGTTAACCTGTTGTTGGTAAGAGTAATCGCGACAAGGGCTGTACAGTTGGCAATGCCAGCTGGAATGGGCCCGTCTAGAAGATTGTCGTGCGCGGTTAGGTTCGTCAGTTTGTACATTGACCCGATTTTTTCCGGGATGGGCCCGTTGAACGAGTTGAAGCTTATCGTCAAGTAAGTCAAGTTGGTTAGCTCTGTTATGCTTATTGGGACACGGCCGGTAAAATTGTTCTCGTGGAGAGTCAACACTTCAAGTGACCTCAAGGAAGATATTTCGGGCGAGATCGTGCCGGAAAAGTTGTTCTGTGAGAGACCCAAATGGGTTAGTGAGTTGAGCTGGTATAATGAGTCTGGGATTGTTGAGTTTAACTCGTTTTGGTAAAGTCTCAAGGCTTGTAACTCGACTAAATTCCCGAGCTGTGAGGGAATTCGGCCGGTTAGTTCGTTCGTGTAGAGGTTCAGCTGAGCTAGCTTCGTGCAGTTGCCTAGCTCGGCCGGGATTTCGCCCGATAGAAAGTTGACGTGCAGCTGTAAAATCTCGAGGCTCGACAAGTTCCCGATTTCGGGAGGGATTTCTCCCGATAATCGGTTTTCGCTCAAGTCTAAAAATTGGAGTTTATCGAGTCTAGCGATGGAAACGGGTATAGGACCCTCTAAGCTATTTCCGAAAGCTAAAAACATTTCTAGGCGGGATAATCTGCCGAGCTCGACCGGGATTTGGCCCGTGAGATTGTTGTTGAGGAAGCTGAGTTGTAGTAAAGAAGTGCAGTTGAAAAGAGTCGAGGGTATGGTTCCGTTTAGAGAATTATCTCCAAAGTCGATTAGTAGGAGCTCGGTTAGATAACCGAGGGTTTGTGGGATGGGGCCAGAGAGCGAGTTTTCGTAGAGGTTGAGTAGAGTGAGGTGAGTACAAAACCCGAGCTCGGGAGGTATTATTCCCGCGAACGAGTTAAGTGACAAGTCGAGAACTTGGAGATTCGAGAGGTTTCCGAGCGATGGAGAGATTGTGCCGGTTAGGTTGTTGTTAGAGAGGGAAATGGAAATGACTTCTCGGGAAACAGGATCGCAGGCGATCCCGGACCAGTTGCAGTGGGGATTGGGCCGGGCCCAATCGAGGAGGAAGCCCGACGGGTCGTGGGTTATGGAGCTTCGAAAGGCTTGTAGAGCTCGGTTTTCGGTTTCGGTTTCGAGGTTTGGAGGCTCTTGTGAGAGGACTTTAGTGAAATGGGTTGTGGTGAAGAGAGTGAGTAGTAGGAGTAGTGTGAAGAAGCTAATTTGTGACATTGTGTTATTCTTTCTGTGTTTTTTTTTTGAGCTTTGTGGGTGATGGGGTTTTAATATCATTTGATAGGAGTAGTTTAAAGTTGACTTGAGTTGCTTGATTTCAGGCATGTCAACTGCTTTGGAAGGGTGCAGTGATCTGTAAAGAAACTCTAAACAAAGACTGCACATTTTGGTGGAGACTTTGACCAGTTTGGAAGACTTGATGGTGAATGAATAATTTCGTGTACACCACAAAATTTTTGTTAACAAAAATCTCAAGTAAAATTTCTTTCGAGACACTGTACATCATCGGTCGTGCGACAGGGGCTCGCGTTTTGAGCTTCAATGTCCATTTCACGGTTAACGTGCGACTTACTAACGAATCATCGACCGTGAGACAGCGTCTCGAGCAACCTTTTCGCTTCGTGGGCCGAAACGAAAAAAAATCGAGCAATGTGTGAACTTGTGGGTGCAACTTGGATGTGGGTTTACACTCAGATACCACGAATTTGCTGCAAGATTTTACTCGAGAGTTTTGGAGTGTACATGGTTTTGTTCATTTACTTATTTTGTTATGCAAGTTGGCAGAAAATGCTGGCTTAAGTTGACTTTTCGCGCGGTAGCCGGAAAAGAGGAATAATAATAAAATTTGAAAGACAAATGAGTGGGGACTGGGGATTAATGGATTCTGTACAGATATGTCAAATGTGCATACTTAAGACCGTACCAACTTGGTTAGTTAGTGCAGTGTTGGTCAAACCTAATTTGAATGATGTGGGCATGTATAAACCTATACACCAATCGAGTCGAGTCGAACTCGAGCTTGAGTCGTCGACGAGTCGAGTCGAGCTCGATTCGTTAAATAAATGAGTCTGTAATCGAGCACGAGCTCGCCGCGTTTATATCATTTATAACGAGTCGAGTTCGAGTTTTAATGAACCGAACTATAGAAAGTTATATAAAAATTATCTTTCGAGTCTTGATTGCGTAAATATGAATTTTTATTATAAAAGTATAATGGGATAACCTACAATTAAACATCTCATACTAAAATTTGTGTATATATGTGTAGGGTATATTTGTTAAATATGACTAATAAACTAGCCAACATATCATAAATTAGTAGGTGATAGCTTATAAGTAAATTTCAAACTTGAAACTTAATGGTGTTTAAGCAACTAAAATAATATTTGATACCATAAAAAAATTTTAAGATAAGTTTCACTTTCTTAAAAAAAAAAAAAAAACTATCCCAATCAAACTACGAATATTTGAATGGGAAAAGCTTATAACATATTTAAATAAAATATAAGCATGATATTAAATATATTTGAATAAAAATTTATGTCAGTCGTTTTGAGAAAAAAAAGAAATTAAGAGCTTATGATATGTTGTATTTAGACATGTCCAACCGGTCCGTAAACCGGTCTCGGCCCAGCACGAAGCGTCCCTGAATCGGCTTCCTAAATCTTTTATTTTTTTTTTTTTTTTTTTTGACCCTGTCCCAGCCGGGCCACATGTCGGACGCCGGGCTATAGTGTTAATTTTTTTTTTTAAAGAACTGTACCAGCCCGTGACCCGCCGGATCAAAGAACCGACCCATAATTTATTTTGGGCCAGTCGCTGTCCATGATATTGAGGCCAGCCGACCCGGCCTCGTATTACGGTGGAATGCACCTGCAATTCGTCGACATTAACGATATTGGTTAGTCAATCACTGGACAAGAAAAATACATATATTATTTTTATGAAAAAAAAATGAGAATAAAAAAAAATAGTTTTAATGAAACTTTAAATGTGACAGCTGTGGGATTTGAACCCACGCCCTTTCGGACCAGAGCCTAAATCTGGCGCCTTAGACCACTCGGCCAAACTGTCACTTTGATGGTTAATCGGCATAATTTATAAATATCTGTCAATTAAATGAAGAATTACATCATTTGAACTCGCTACGTACCCGAATCCCGATATAATTCTTTGCATGCTTGAATATTAACTACCAGAAAAATTCAGTCTATTTACACTACAATGAATGCTTGATATTTCATAAATTTAACAGCAATATATATTCTCAATATACATATATATATATACATAATTTTACATTCAAATGTCATACTTTAACATACAATATAAACAAAAGTATAATATTTTATTATGGTTGCGTACAATCATGCGAGTGAAAAATCAAATCTACCATTGTGGGTGTGCGTGTGCGTGCACGTAGGGAGTGGACTACACGACTTCGACATGTGCACAGAGAAGCAAACTTTGCGGCGGACCACCTGGCAGGCTTAGCGTCTTCCTTTCCGATTGGTTTCCATGAGCTCTCGTCTCCTCCGCACAGTTTGGGCGAGTGGCTCGGGCATGATGTTATCGGGGTCGCTTATCCCCGTCGTATTTTAGTCTAGGCCTTTGGCCTCCTTCTTTGTACCCAAAAAAAAAAAAAATGTAAGAAAATACTAATGTGGACAGTAGATAAAATTGTTAAATTAAACGAGTCGCTCGGCCATTTAAGGCTCAAGCTCAGCTTGGCTCGTTTGATAAATGAGTTGAGCTCGAGCTCATTTAAACCTCGTTTGGAAGTCAACCCGATAAAGCTCGAAAAGATAGATTTATATAATTTTCAACAATTCGACTCGTTAAAACTCGATTTTAGATCGTTGAGATCGAGCTCGGCTCGTTAAAATTGATAAATGAGTCGAACTCGATTATGAGCTCGTTAAGTTAACACGTTGAGTCAAGCTCGGCTAGTTAAGGACTCGAGCAATATGAGCTTGAGCTCGACTCAACTCGTTTACACCCTAGCATTCATGCTTCTCGGCTCGGCTCGGCTCGGCTCGGCTCGACTCGACCCGATAAAGCTCAAAAAGATAAATTTATATAATTTTCTACAATTCGACTCGTTAAAACTCGATTCTAAATCGTTGAGACTGGAGCTCGGCTCGTTAAAATGATAAATGAGTCGAACTCGATTATGAGCTCGTTAAGTTAACAAGTTGAGCCAAGCTCGGTCAGTTAAGGACTCAAGCAGCATGAGCTTACTGGGGTGAAGAGGCCATTTCCGCGATCCCGAGTGCTCGACTGGGGTGTATTACAAAAACTTGGAATTGACGAAGCCGTTCGAGCTTACTTCAAGACTCTTCACTTGGAGAAGTATGCGAGTGACCCACAATTGATTTCTTACCGGACATTGGCGCTCGAATTTTTCAGCACGATCGAGGGGCACGACGAAGACAGTTATCTCACGTGCCGCTTAAATGGCCAAAAGATCAAGATAACTGATTTGCTCCTCTGCGAGATATTTAGGTTCAGGACAACAGGGCCACGCGTCAAGCCCGACAATTTCAAACCTACGAGGCCTTGGGCTAAATTGTCTCCGTGCAATTTTTCAAGGCTTCCGGTCCTTCGGCGGGGCTAATCACTGAAGTCCCAGTTGCAATCGTGCATAAGTTCATCTCTTTTAATATTTTCGGGAACACAGAGGCCAACAAGGTAAGCGCGCAAGAACTTTTTATTTTATGGAGTATGATTGAACAGCGTAATTTCTGCCTCCTTCATTTCTTCAAGCAAGCTCTTCTTGATACACGACGGAAAAAACTGATCCATATCACCTTGGGACACGTGGCCACCGAACTTGCAGTCCACTTTAAAATTACTCTCGATCATGATGATGCTATTGGACCTTCCGAGATCACGTGGTCCGATCTTCGACATGCCGAGCTTGTTGATAAATCATTATCCCGAATCACGATTGTCACTGAACGCAAGTGTTACCGCAAGTATCTCGAGGAGTTGAAAGAACAAGCGGCAACGAAAAAGGCAGCACAAGAAGGTACTTCTTAACAGCCAACCGGAGACCCATCTCAACTACCCACAGACGACACTACCGAACAGCATTTGGGAGCTGACGATCACATCGCTCCGACCGACGAGTAAACCCAACGTCACCACTGGACCCTTCCACTCTTCCACCTCCACAGGACAATCTGGAGCTCATGGCCTACCTCCGATCATTGCAAGTAGATATATCATCGCGGAATGCGATGGAAGATGAGCGTTGGCGGGCATACACGGAGCAAAATGAGGCCCGTTGGCAGTCATTCCTTAAGATCAACGACGAGCGTTGGGAAGAACAAACCAGGAGATGGAATGAGTTCGTGCAAGATAACAACGCCCATTGGACAGCTCATGACAACCGCTGGGATACCTGGGAGTCGCACCAGTACAGGTGGCAACCCCGACAGTAGTCATTTTCCTCAGGACCATCGGACGCACAGTGACTTGTCACTGTGCTCAGTATGTTTTTCTTTCCCTTCCTCTTTTATTTTGTATAGTTTATTTTATTTTAGTCAGTTAATTATATGGTATAGCTCTCTTACACTAAGATTCGACAATGTGGACATTGTCTGGTTTAAGTGTGGGGGAGTTTTACGTGTTTACGTGACTATGTGGTTGATCATGTCTAGTTTTTTTTAGGTTGTTTTGATTTTCTGCTCTTGTGTGGTGTCTTATGTGGAGTCGGTTGTGTGTTTTCCGAGTATGGACTTTGGTGGATTTTGAGATGGGTTGATGATTGTTGATAAAGTTGAGAAGATATGATGATGATCATGACTAGCTTATCTTGGTGAACTGGATTGGTCGTTTTTTCAGACATTTATTTACCTAAAGTGAGGGTTGAGCCTTAATTTTTCTTGTGAGATATTGGTCGAAATTGTTGTTTGTCGGAATTTGCCTTGAGACTACTCTGAAATGAAGCGGGTGGATTTATGCGATATGAATATGATT